AGGTGCTTCTGACCACACCAGGGGTGATGGTTTTTGGTGGTTTTTGGCGTTTTTTGATGGTCTTTGATGGTTTTTGAAGGTCTTTGATGGGTTTTGATGGTCTTTGATGGTTTTTATGGTCTTTGATGGGTTTTGATGGTCTTTGATGGTTTTTGATGGTCTTTGATGGTTTTTGATGGTCTTTGATGGCCACCTATGGTCACTGATGGCTCTTTTGTGCTTCTCCCAGTCTGGTGAGATGTGAAGATCCTGGTGGAAAAATGCCCAGCAAAGAAACTTTACCACCCTTCCCCGGGATAAAGGCAAACCAGATCTTTGACTCGAGTTACATAAAACATTTTTAAATGTCTATTTTCCAACACCAGTGGAAGCCACACTTGGCTGGAGTTACCAAACCCTCATAACACATCAGGAGTGGGGATCATCAATTCCTCCCTAAAAAAACCCCATTCCTCCCTGCAGCCCCGAGAAGAGGCATTTCACAGCTCGTTAAATATAGAGGTACCTACAAATRCAGCCCAGTTACCTCTCCGGAGGTGCTTCCAAGCCAGGGGAAGTGACAAACCAGGCTTCACACTCTTTTAATTATAGCAGCCTTTACATAACAGCGGCGGATAAATGTGTTCTAGCATAGGTGGCACCTCGCTTCCTCCAGAAGAACTGTCAAATTAGACCAGACTAATTCATTACTTGAAATTGCAAGGATTAAAGCATGCAGTCCAGCAGTGTTTGAATAAAAACTTAAAATCCACCAGATCCTGCAGGCCAGGATAGATCCCAAACAGCACAAYCCTCCTTTCTTCTGAAACAGAAATATTCATGTGGTGGCTTTGAGGACTCCAAATCCCACAAACACCATCCCATTGTGCTGGAAAAAGCACTGGTTTAGAGATTTTGTTTCTTAATTTAGTTGTAAATCAGGTTCAAACTTTTGTTCTTCTAATTTTTGTTTAGGGTTTGATGTTGTTGTTTCCAGACCTTGTGTGTGTGCGCTCTGTTAATTCTTAGTGTTTAGTTTTAGTGTCTTTAGGGTTTAATTTTTCATTGTTTCCAGGCATTGCTGGGGGGCATGGATGGTTTTCCTTGGGAATCAYCAGCTATTCTCTGGAATTTTGAAGAGAAAGGATTTATTTTATTGTAAACACATCACAGTTATTGTAAATACACCATGGTTCTCCTGGCCATGCCTCCACCCGGGGCAGAAGCTGCTGTGGCTGCACCAGATTCTTATCTAATCTCTATTATAAAACAGAAGTGGAGGGAGAGAGGCAGAGAAATTGCTGTGGAGGGACAAGGGGAAGGAGAGGCAGAGAAATTGCTGTGGAGGGACAAGGGGCAAGGAACGGGGCTGTGCCAAATAACTTAGGAGAGTGAGGAGCTGGCCTCTTTCCACTGAGGGAAACAAGGATTGCTAAATTGCTGACAGCCCTTTCCTTTTGGTGATGAGATCCATCCCTGGGCCCTTCTGCTGATGCCACCGAGGGCAGCTTTACCCAGGGGACAGTGATTTTCTCCAGTGGGCCCCGGAATATCCAAGCAGGGGAAGGTGAACCCCAAAATTTGTGTTTCAGGGAAGAATGCTGATGGAGACTGCAGGTTTTGGAGGCCTCTCTGTGCTGGGAGGAGTGGATCCATATCCAAGCCTGCCCTTAATGGATCCACTAATGCTCTTTTTTAATGAGCCCTGGTTTTCTGGGGGCTCTGCCTCATTATCCCAAAGCAATGCTACAACTGCAGGACCTGACCCCATGTGAGAGCAGGGAGAGGCCTCCAAGACCTTCACCACATTGGTGTTGGGATTCTGCTGCTCCAGGGTTAATATTCCTGTCTCTCCAGCAGCAGGAAAAGAGGCAGCACTGCTGCTCCACTCGGCAAAATCCCAGGTGGGAGCAGGATTTGTTGGAGTCGGGAGAAGGGAGAAGTTGCTGACTCCCATCCCGCTTGGCGCACTGCGGTGCCGAGGCGTTCCCTTGCCTTGGCAATCTGGATCCTGCGCATTTATTTATTCCAGCAGCACTTCAGTGTGTTTATGCAAATAGTTCATTGCTCCAGCTCCTGAAAGAACCRCACAAGTGCTGGCATTTGATTGAGGAATCATTAGATCGGGCTGGAAATAAAATTTCTTCTGGTTCTGCATTCACGCCTTCGTAAAAAATAAAACCCAACCCCGGTGTTTCCACATTTGGGTAGCTCAGGACTGACTAAATAATTGATATTTTGGGATAGATGGATGCAYGTCTCAGAGAGATTTCCTTTGTACTCTAATTAAAAATAAAGAGGATATGAATAATCTCTAATGGCATCAGAGTATTTGGAGGAAGCCAAGTATTTTGGAGGATTGTGGATGCTCAAAATGTTCAGGCTTCTGAGCTTTTCTCTTTCCCCCACCTCCATCCTGACAACATTTTAGTCTGGATTATCCCCTCAGTGACTTGTTGGGCATTAAGTTTTGGATGACATGGGGTCTTTGTTTAAATCTCTTTCAAAATCTCCCRTGCCCTTGGAAACGTGGAGCTGTGGACTCTGATTAACATCATCAATGAATGCTATTAAAAAAATGAATGATGCAGCTACTGAAGCCATTAAAAAAATGAAAATTTTTAAAGGTCAGACCTCTACAAGACTCATTTCAGCTCTTTACCCATTCCATGTTTTCAGCAGGTCATTCCTTCAGTATTGGCCGAAAGCAGAGTGAGGAGGATACATAGCAGAGGCTCTCTGTGGTCTGAACAGAGGAATTCCCTGCCTGACAATATCAAATATCCAAATTCTCTTTTGGAAAAAGGCCAGGGATGATTTTGATCTCTCAGACCCTCATCTTTCATAGTAGTGGGGTTTTTATTTGTTTGTTTGAGCCATTCCCTGGGGAGCTCCCCTCAAAACCACGGAGCTTTGAACAATAAGCCTGTTGTGCTCTTCCCAACTTCTCAACTTCTTCCTGGAAGTTGGAATCAAAAAGATTTGACTTTCTAGAAAGCCACGAGGATGACCACCCACATATCCAGTGTAACAGATATCACTGGAAAAATGATGGCTTGGCACTGATACAAATTTGGAATTATTTTCCCGAGCCCTCTCCTTGCTCCCTCTTTCCCAGTTCCATCCAGCCCCCCATTTCCTCAGCATATTTATTATATTTCTATATTTATATTTATATTTATATTTATATTTATATTTATATTTATATTTATATTTATATTRCTTTCCAGACAACTTAAAAGAGCTGGGTGTCTTCCTCCCTCACCTCAGTGTGGTTTTTTTGGATAAATTACCTCATAATATTCAAAGCCGCCTTTGATTCAGAATTCCTCTCTATTACAGGGATTTGTATTTTTATAGCATCTTTTAGGAGCCTTTTGAGTCATTAAATATATATTTTTAATAACCTCAGTGTCTTAAAAGGACAGCGTGAAATGTAAGGACTGGAAATCAAAAAGTGATTCCCCTGATTTCTGAATTAAGTTGTTTTATTACAAATCTACGTGAATTTCATTTTTTCCCCTTCATCTTGTGATTTCACAGCCTTTTTTTTGGATTTTTGAGCTGACCAATGGTTCTCATAATTGAATCTTTCAATCTGGAACATCACAGATCTTCAAGAACTTTGTAGGACAGGCTGAAAAAATTAACTCCTGGATAGGGAGTTTAATGAACATTTTAAAGGCAATCTTAGAAGCTGAGAAGTAGCAAATTGGGAATAAGATTTTGRGGAATTTTCAATGGAATTTGTAAGAAATTGTGAATATGGCAAGRATAACACCTTTGGCTTTGCTTCAGGTGCCTGTTGGACACTTCCCTTGGGATTTGTGGTAACTTTGCAGAACTAAAGGAAGGTTTTGGAAGGAAAAGTAGATGAAGCAAATGGAAAAAGCAAATTGGAAGCGTTTGTGAAACAGCAGTGTTGGATCAGATTGCACTGAAGATAGCATTTTAAGTAATTGTTTTAATAAGGATAGGAAGTAAATTGTAAATTAGCTCTGTCATTAGTGTTTAATTATTTATTGACTTTTTAATCACGTTGTTACACCAGTAGCTTAAGTCGTAGAGCTCCAGGAGGGACTGGCTTAGCAATTTTGTTTCTTATTTAGTTGTAAATCAGGTTCGAACCTCTGTTCTTCTAATTTTTGTTTAGGGTTTGATTTTCTTGTTTCCAGACCTTGTGTGTGYG